TATATATATATATATATATATATATATATATATATATATATATATATTATTATTATGATGCAATACACATTTTTCAGTTTTTTTCAATGTAGCAACTTAACAATCCACAAATGATCAGTTTAGGAATAATACACCACAAAATTATTGTTTTTGTTGTCTCTTCAACAAATCTCTTTATAACTATTCCTGCTAACTTGAACTTAGAACTTCTCCTTGAACTTTAATTACAGTTGCTGATGTATGAAGCAATAAATGATAATTTAAATCAATTCTTATAGCTTGCAGTAGGGAATGTTTTTGATGGAACAGAACTTCAGGTGTGATATTTTTATCCCAGTTGTTGGGCACATCATTGCACTCAGTCAGTGCAGGTAGTTGGATATCAACCATCAGCTGACTCCACGGTGTAGCCATATGTTCTCTGACCAATTGCTCCTTTAGTTCCTGCACGTATAAGGACTTGTGGCTCCTGTAATACTGAAAAGTTCAAAGAACTCGGACTTAGCAAGAGACCCGTTACCGTGTAAATTAAGTACATTCTCGTGTTTTAGGTTTCAGGTTTGGTTTATTTGTCATATGCAAATAAACACAAGGTCAATAATGCAATGCTGAGGACGAGAAGAACCATCTAGACTCACCCCCCCCCCCGCAAAAAAAAAACAAAAAACAACAAGAAATACCAAAGCATGCAACAAAAATATAAAAACAAGGCACCACAAGTGAAAAAAAAAAAAAAAATACAGCTACAGCAGCATGGTCCTATCAGCAGTGTGGTTCGTTAAGTGGCGCGGTCTTGTTAGCAGCGGTAGCAGATCTTGTTAGCAGCATGATGATAATAACGATCACAGCAGCTGCCCTCACAGACTGCTCTCCAGAACCAAGACCCTAGCAGAAGTAAAGAGTACTTTCAGGAGGATTAATCTGCACAAAGCAACCGGCCCAGACAACATCCCCGGAAAAGTGTTGAAAGAATGTGCCGATCAGCTCTGCGAGGTGCTGGCAGACATCTTTAACACCTCACTTACCCTGGAGACAGTTCCCACCTTCCTGAAGACTGCCACCATCATCCCAGTCCCAAAAAGCTCTACAGTGACTGGTTTGAATGACTATCGGCCAGTGGCCCTCACCCCGATAGTCGCTAAATGATTCGAAAAACTGGTCATGACTCGCATCAAAACAACCATCAACATCAACGAGGACCCTCATCAGTATGCATACCGTGAGAACCGATCAATAGAGGATGCCATCTCCTCTGTGGTCCACACTGCGCTCAACCACTTGGAGCAGAAAGAATCTTACGTCAATTTGCTTTTTGTGGACTTCACATCCGCCTTCAACACCATGATCCCCCAAACCCTGATGGACAAACTATCCACACTAGGACTAAGCCCCTCCATCTGCAACTGGGTACTAGACTTTTTAACAAACAGACCACAGTTAGTGAGGATCCACAACTTCTCCTCCTCCACCATAACCCTCAGCACTGGCTCTCCTCAGGGATGTGTGTTGAGCCCCCTCCTGTTTACCCTGCTCACGTATGATTGTGCAGCTACCCATCCAGTCTGTCACATTGTAAAGTTTGCAGATGATACAGTGGTGGTGGGATGCATCACAAACAATGATGAGTCCAGCTACAGGCAAGAGGTGGAACATCTGGAGAGCTGGTGCAAAGAGAATAACCTTCACATCAATGTGAAGAAGACAAAGGAGATGATTGTGGACTTCAGAAGGAACAAAAACATCTACGCCCCCCTGAACATAAGAGGATCTGCGGTGGAAGTGGTCTCCAGCTACAAGTACTTGGGTGTACACATGAATGACAACCTCAGCTGGAGCAACAACACCACCAGCCTGATCAAGAAAGCTCATCAGAGACTCTACTTCCTCAGACGGCTGAGGCGAGCTGGTCTGGGAAGCTCAGTCCTCACCTCCTTCTACAGGTGTGCAGTTGAGAGCATCCTGTGCTCGAGCATCAATGTGTGGCATGGAGGCTGCACAGCTGCAGAAAGAAAAGCTTTGCAGAGAGTGGTGAAGGCTGCACAGAAGTCTGTCAGAGTCAGCCTCCCCACCATCACAGACATCTACACCTCTAGATGCAGGAAGAGGGCCACCTGCATCATGAAGGACCCCACTCACCCAGCACACACACTTTTTGCCCCACTCCCTTCAGGCAAGAGGTTGAGGAGCATTAAGTGTAGAACCACTAGACTGAGGAACAGCTTCTACCCTGAGGCTGTTAGACTCATGAATTTCTAACCAGAATAATCACTGTGAAAAAAATCACATCATGTTGCTGCTGATCTGTTTCATGTTGCTGCTGATCTGTTTCATGTTTCTGCTGATCTGTTTCATGCTCCTGTGTTCATGCATTCTCATCTGCTCACACAGACTCATGTTCGTGCTGCTGTTCGATGTAATGTTTTTATGCTATTAGTGCTTAGTGTATATTTAGCTGATGTTTTCCTTAGTTCATATCTTAGATGTTTTTACTGTTTTTCTTTGCATTTTATTGTTGGATGTAACTGGGACCCTGCGTACATAATCTCATTCCACCACATGTACCACATGAGATGCGAATGACAAATAAATCTCTCTGACTCTGATGTTGAAATGTCCCTGGGCAAGACCCTGAACCCCTCATTGCTCCGATGTGTGTTCCATCGGTGTGTGAATGTAATAAATCACTGATTATTCTTTGTATAGATCTAGTAGAGTGTTGTATGAATGGGTAAATGAGGCACAGATTGTGTTGTAAAGAGCTTTGAGTCTCTTTATAAGATAGAAAGGTGCTATATAACAGTCCATTTACCATTTAAAAGATCATGGATGGATTCACTACCTGTTGCAGGACATGCTATTGGCCAAGCTTTTGGAGTTTAATTTATTTTTACTCTTCATTTAAAGTTTGTCCATCTTTTAAAATTAAAGCTAACACTGAGGCTGAAAGACACCACGTTTTACTCTCAGTCAGAAGGCCTAACTTATTTTGGATCCCTTATGTCAGATATTTTATTGATAAACAGAGGCGAAGTACTTAGTAAAGTGTGCTTTTAGTTTGAGGAAAAAATGCAGACACTGTACATTCAATTAAAAATATATTTTCAAGTCACAAATGTTGACATTTAAACCAAAAAAAGAAGTGAATATTATGTGTCCTAAAACCATTACAGATTATTTTTCTGCGTATATTTGCCAGAGTTTGACAAACACTGATCATGGTTTATAGATGGATGTCTTCTCTATCAGCAGTGTTTTTCACTGGTGTTGTCTCCTCTGCATGAAGCTTCAGAGAGTCCTTTCGTGTTGCAGCTGCGGGACCTCCTGTGTTTCCCTCCACTACAAGTGGACCAGGATGACCAGCAGGACCAGTTACCCTCCTGAAGAACTGTAGGTCTCTGACCTGCAAAACATTGTTCATTTTAACACAGAGAACAAACAAAAAGAAGAGGTTCTGATGGGAGACTGCATAATTTTGTCTTACCTGTGTGTTTAGCTTTATCCCCCTTGAAGTTCTGGCAGGCCAGGCCTTCAAACTGGTGAGAGCACATACAGATACACTTCCCATCCAGAAGAGCCAGGGTGCCTCCATTCTGGCAGGGCTTACACTTACACACATTATACTCAGCCCCATAGTCTTCTATGGCTCTCTTGATGTTTGATATCCTGGTGTTTGAGTCTGGTGAATCCAGAGGAATCAACATGTGGATGGGCTCTGGCTGCAAGAGACGGGACAGGTTTGATGTTTCCTCGACACATTAAAATAAACTGAGTCACAGCCTGTCAGATTTCTGATACATTTTTCAAGCTGGGTTTTTTACATCTTTTTCTTTTCTCTATTCTCAGTTCAGATTTGAGCAGGTATGATTGTTCTTTAGTGTTTAAATGCGTAGCAAAACTTTTAGAATAGAATAGAATAGAAACAGCCTTTATTGTCCCACGGATGGGAAATTCCAGTGTATCAGCAGCAACAGATAAAAAGATAACAATGTAATTTTGTTACATATTTTAGTAAACACAACTCTCTATTGCTGCGTTTCCATTAGTAGCGATACAGCACGGCTCGACTCGACTCAGCACGATTCCAAGGCTAGTAACGGTTCGTAGAACCAGTCCCATTTTTCAGAACCCTTTCTGAGGTTCCAGCCGGGCCGAACCGGCACCAAAACGTGATGTCAGAACACTGTCGGTCACTGATTGGTCAGGAGGTGGAGTCACTGGCTGTTTGAGAAACTTTTCACATCAACAAGATCCGCCATTTGCAATTACCGGTGTTTGAACTCGAGGAGCGGATGGATCTATTTTTAAGATTTTAAAAACAATAATGACAACAACGTGGTCTAATGCTGAAGTGCAGGCGTTTTTTGTGCTTGGTGGCCGACGACCAAATTCAGAGCAAGCTAGATGGAGCTCAGCCAGTCCCCCCTGGTCCTCTCCACCAGAGCTTCGGAGCCCCCTCGGGCTGGGCAGGGCGTCGTCTCCCTGGCTCCGAGCTCTGTCGATCACCGCGGAAGGTCCTCCACGCTGCCGACTCGGGACTCAGGCTCTGGCCCTGGCCTTGCGTGCTCTGCAGACTTCAAGCTCTGCTGGTCACCGCGGAGGATCATACGAGCTGCTGGTTGCCTGGACCCCGGCAGCCGGACGGATCGGGACAGGTCTGGGACGGAGGGTGGAAACAATTTTCAAAACATTTTATGTATTTAAAAAAATGTATTATTTTTATCAGTGAAAATTAATAAATAAATAAATGGGGTCTTCTTTATCATGAAACTCTGTTTTCATTTTAATTACTTTATTAAATAATTTGTTAACGTTAACTCAGCTGAAAAATCATAAAAAGACAAAACTATTGAATCTCTCAGGAATATTTCCTTCAAATATGTTTAAAGAAGAGCTACGGCCTTTAGTTCAACTTTAGTCTAACCCACAGATGTACAAATCACAAAA